ACATTCATAATTATCTTAAATCTCCTAAGGTAGCTGAACCTCGTGAGATATTATTGGGTTTACGGCCGAAAACATTGTTAACAGCAAGCGAACTCATATGATGAAACAATGCGTTGTAATGTCTATAAGTACAAACGTAAGAACAGTATCATTAATTAGCTATACTCATTACTGTGGTGATTTTGATTTTTTATCTAAGTAGGAAGTTTGTTCTATCGGAAGTTAATATTAATATATTTTGCAACTAACATTCCACATTAAACACCACAATCTTTTTGTATAAAATATAAATATTTGATTTCCATTTTAGTTCTGGTATCTAGCAGTACTGTAAATATCATGAACTAGTAAGTAAGCAAGGGGGTTATTAATGTACTTGTAAGCTATTGTTTCTTTTTTTTCATTATAATGTTTCTGGGATTATTAAAGTGAAAAAGTTCAAGTGTTTAACTAGAATATATTAGACGTGCAGTAGGCATAATTTCGGAGATATACTGTTTAGAACAAGCAAGGATTTCAGTAAAGTAATCAAAATGTTGATGTTGCTCAGATTAGAGAAAAGTGAATTACACTAAAGAAACTAGAACGTCACCCACCTCATTAAACCAGGAGAGAGATTCTGTTCAGAAGAGATAAAGATCTCAATTATTGAATGGAAACATCATCCACACCGGCACATGATAGAGACAGACGAAGTAAAGATTCAATTAAAATAGGCTAAACATCATTCATATCAGCGCAGATCTGGTAAAGAGTTTAATAAAGAAAATAAAATACTATCCTTAACAAAACACGTGGAAAATGTTGTTCATGTAAAGATCATAATCGAAACTTAAAACTTCAGTGCCTCATAAAGATATTATTCATACCATGTAATGGCCTTACTAAAGAAGCTAATACTTCGTCTACACGAACACACAAGACAAGACAAATATCTCAATAAAGAACCTAACAAGTCGCTGATATCATCAACACACCAGATCAGGTAAAGATTTCAATAAAGAAACTAAAACAACATCCACATCAACACACCAGATCAGGTAACGATTTCAATAAAGAAAGTGAAACATTGTTCACATCAACACACCTGATCAGGTAAAGATTTCAATAAAGAAAGTGAAACATTGTCCACATCAACACACCTGATCAGGTAACGATTTCAATAAAGAAAGTGAAACGTTGTCCACATCAACACACCTGATCAGGTAAGGATTTCAACAAAGAAAGTGAAATATTGTTCACATCAACACACCGATTCAGGTAAAGATGTCAATAAAGAAAGTAAAACATCATTAACATCAACACACCAGATCAGGTAAAGATTTCAATAAAGAAAGTGAAACATCGTCCACATCAACAAACACGATCAAATGAAGATTTCAATAAAGAAAGAGAAACATCGTCCACATCAACACACCGATTCAGGTAAAGATTTCAATAAAGAAAGTAAAACATCGTTCACATCAACACACCGGATCAAATAAAGATTTCAATAAAGAAAGTGAAACATTGTTCACGTCAACACACCAAATCAGGTAAAGATTTCAATAAAGAAAGTGAAACATTGTTCACATCAACAAATCGGATCAAATAAAGATTTCAATAAAGAAAGTGAAACATCGTCCACATCAACAAACCGGATCAAATAAAGAAAGTAAAACATTGTTCACGTCAACACACCAAATCAGGTAAAGATTTCAATAAAGAAAGTGAAACATTGTTCACATCAACACACCAGATCAGGTAAAGATTTCAATAAAGAAAGTGAAACATCGTCCACATCAACAAACCGGATCAAATAAATATTTCAATAAAGAAAATGAAACATCGTCCACATCAACAAACCGGATCAAATAAAGAATGTGAAACATTGTTCACATCAACACACCGATTCAGGTAAAGATTTGAATAAAGAAAGTGAAACATTGTTCACGTCAACACACCGATTCAGGTAAATATTTCAATAAAGAAAGTAAAACATCGTCCACATCAACAAACCGGATCAGTTAAAGTGGTATAACTGAAGTTTTGATTCAAACTAAGATTTTTCTGTAATAAGCTTGAGCATTCTTTAGGTGCCAAAACATCATCTAATGCATACTTCGTTTTTGATCCATAGATTTTACTCTTCCCACGTACAAACAAGTTGGTGTTACATAAAAACTGTAACGATATTATGCATTTTGAAATATATTGGGAATACCAATCTCAAAGTAACCTGTTTGTGTGTGGGGAAAATATATATGTTTTTATTCGTTAATTACACTTGGGCTGATAAATATGCAGTAACAAAAAAATGTTATGATAGTGGGTGAATAAAATTATTGATACTTGATAACATGCCAAAAATGTATCTGTATGCCTCCAGTTTAATTTATTCAATAGGCCTAAAAATATAACCTACTGTCACACGTAACTACTACTTTGGTAAAGCTAAGAAACTTGTATCATTAATCATGCGGTCATACCCTGTGTCTTGTAAGTGCAAAGTTCCACTACTCCTCAAGCAACTGTGGGAACCTTTCACATTTTCGCCTACAACAGATGGCTGACACTGTAGGGTGGGACCAGCATCAGGTTTACGTCTAATTTTAATTTCTAATTCCATTTACTAAGAAATATGATTAAGGAGTTATTCTCTAGAAACAGAGAGCCGTTTGTATGTTGTATGATAGGAAAAGGAAAAAAAGTAATTACAATAGTGATATTACAATTAAAATTATTTGCAAGTCTTATCATGTAACGTGAAGGTTTCCTGTCTTGGATTATCGCTTCGGCCTTGTGTTTTTTTTCAAATAGGTTTGAAATATGTTTTAGTGGTTGTTCTGATATGTTTACGTAATGGTAAACATTTCATTAAAATGTCGTTTAGAAAAATTAAATATTGTTACCAAAGACCAAATATATATCAGTTTTCATTTAAGTTAGTGGCACAGTGATATGTCTGCGGACTTATACTGCTAGAAACCTGGTTTCAATACCCATGGTGGGCAGAGCCCTTTGTTCTTAATAACAACAACAACTAATTTGAGTTGTCAGATTTTTCCGAATAAATTTCAACTATAAAATTGTCTTAGAATGTTGCTAAAGCAATTATACGCGTTTTAGTTGTTTATAAGAATAAGGAATATGTTACAAACTTTATTATGATAAAATTATATAAAATATAACTACATAGCTTGAGTACGTTATATTTAAACGATTTTGGAGCCTCATCACGTAGTTTCTAACAGTGATGCCCATTCCCGCTGTGTTCTATTTGACGACTGAGCATCTTTACAATAGCCCTGCAGGGTAATTTCCATTGCAAAAGGTTGCGTCGCAAGGCTGTCATGTCCAAAGCACATGACATCTCATTGATATATTTCCACAATCCATTTAGTGTACAAGGAATGACTTGATTGCCATGTATTCTTGTGGAATATCATGAATACCCGTTTCATTTTCCAGCTACTTGATGAATGGGACGATTGAATGGGGTGGGGTATGACTGATTAGAAGCCTTATCTTGGTGAACCCCTACCTTGTTTAGCTCGTTTCTAGACGTAGATTCATCTTAATTATGTTGTGTACTGTTGTATGTTAAAAGACGCTACACTTCTTTTACCATAGCTGGGATACGACGTGTTGCAAGTATCTTTCTATATGGTCCTGGTTGCACATGATGATCCACATTCCATTAATCCTCGTCTTGTAAATTTTAAATCCTTATCTGAAGTCCTGCTCACATCTTGCATGCGTGAAATTTTGCGTTGGAAAGGCCTATTGCATACCCTTCCCAAAATTGATCAATTTTCAGTAGCATCATACTACATACAAACGCCAAATAATGGCAAAATATAGTTCTGGTACATTCCGTTCTACCTACATTTTATATCGACTGGGGTTCTCACGTGACTTGCTGATTTGATTATTCAAAATCGCTTTAATATAATGTTCTCAGCCTTCTTATATACTAAAAGCACTAAAGTTACAGCATATACATATATATTGGAGAATAAATCAACACTAGTCCTGTTTAGAAAACAATGCATATATATATAAGATTTGTTGAGATTTATTTCCTGTCATGGCTTTAGCTATACGAGCATTAAGAACCATCTCAACCTTCGTAAAAATTTTGTTGTTGTATTTAAACACGACGACATTATTTAACGAGCCCCCCAGTGGCACAACGGTATGTCTGCGGACTTACAACGTTAGAATCCGGGTTTCGATACCCATGGTGGGCAGAGCACAGATAGCCCATTGTGTAGCTTTGTGCTTAATTACAAACAAACAAACATTTACTTAACAACGGTAATTAAATTATAAATGTGACTGGGAAAAGTTAAGTATCACTACTTAATTAACGTATATATATATTTTAAATAATAATTGAAGTTTGTCGTCGTCACTTAGCGTGGTTGGACTTCTCTTTGGATGTAAAAATATAGATTTAAAATATAATTTCGTTCTTTAACTTATTAGTTGGAGCTTTATTTTTATTGTACATTATCAATTTTAAAATATTTCTGGTTTATTGACATTGTATCTGTTACACGTTTGCATTCAGAAAATTAAACCATTTTAAAGAGAGCATTGTAAAGATGGTTCTTTATCCCCCCCCCCCAAATATAGATGTTAAAAAAGGGTCATATGTTATTAGCCCCTCTGTGGGGGTACCTTTTAATTTGAGCAGCAAAACCTTTTTGTCTCCTGTTAGCCTGTGCGCTGTACTTATGGTCGCATATACTCGTACATGAATCTGAAACAAATGAAAATTAAATAACAATTTAATGGGGCAACTAATGTTTGGACCACACTGCAGTTACAAGTCACGACTACAAGATAATTCATATTATTTGTAATAAAACAACACAAATCATTTAGGCCTGTTTTAGCACTTGCAACATATTCTATAGTTTTTTAAACGTTCGAAAATTATACACGTTATACGTTGAATATTCGAAATAGGAAAGAAGCAACTGTCAAAATAATAGGAGTATTTTTGTGTTCAGGTGAAGGATTTCCTGGCCACAACTCCCCACCGGTGTTTGACCTGAAGAGAGAGTGGTTGATACCTGAAAATGAACCAGTTGGTAAGTGAATCGTGTTAAGTTTTTAATGTTCTAATTTGATAGATTAAGTTTAATTTTAAGTGTAATAAAAATAATTAAACAATGATAAAATAATACGGTATTCTCATGACTAATATTACTTATTTACTGGCCTATACGTAATTGCCTACTCAGCTTGAGATTAATAGATATATAAGTACGTTCTCAACGATGACTTCCATTAACAAACCCCGACTGTTATTAATAATCAGCAAATTATTATTATTGCTATTACAAATTAATATTATTAGCATACTTTCGCTATTTACTTATTAATACTTTAAGTTAAAAGTTGTGAAAGACTTAATTGAATAAATCACCTTGAAATAGCGGTATGTAAACAAGTTCCCAATAAAACAATTGTATGAGAGTTTTAATAACCCGATGTACTCTCTACATGTTTCCAAGATAAAATGCGAAGGAAATATTTTTCTAATAGGAGTGAAAGATATCTTATACATGAAATTCGGAGTATAATATTACCGTAGTGTTTTACAAAATTAATAATGGGTTAATTTTATGGGATAGATATACCTATCGGCATTAGGTAATGGAATTGTTAATATACATGATCTTTTCTTTATGCATTAGATTACTGGACTATTTCAATGCTCATTTTCTGGATTTTTATCTTCAATTTTCATTGACTCCAGCAACAATTACTAGAATTATATAGCCATTATCACTTGAAAGTCAAGTATCAACGTTTTTTTTACCAATATAAACATTCAAATTCTTAGTGATTTTTCGTTATTTGATGAACAAAAAAAACTGCTTTGTTTTGAAGTGCGCGAAGTTATTCGTTAAGTGATCAGATATCACCTATTAATTTTGGTATTTGCAGCAAAATGGCTTAAACACATTTATTCACCTTACCTCCTGTTTTAGCAGTTTTACTGGATCTTGTTTTTAGATCTTTAATGTAGTCGTGGTCGTGACCTGCGAACGTCTAAGATAAGTGACTTTCTAAGAACCAAATAAATTTTATCTCGATGTGAAAAAAACAAGCACATAATATACGATGTTTTTCGTTCAATTTTGTCGTAGCTTAGATCTATCGAAAGGTTTTTTCATAAAACTTGAAACCAGTTAGAACTGTTTTGTAAGGGTTCACTGGTTTCTCTCTATTTTTTTAAGGATTCACTGGATTTTCTTGTCCGACCGTCAGTTTTTTAAGGTATTCAGAAAGATGGCTCTGAAAGCTCTTCTTCACCGATCCCACCAATACAAGGCATAAAATGTATCCTCTTCATGTTAATATACAGAATAGGGTAAAAGACTCCGTTCTCGGTATAGCAATAACAACAACAAAAAAGATTATTAATCCTTTGGATATTGAAGAGTTGATTTTGTAGTCGAACTGGTTTAACAGGTATTAGTTTATGTTTATATGGATTCGAAAGTAGTTGGGTTCGAGAATACGTCGATTTAACGCAATCTACTTAAGAGTTGGTAATGAAACTTTGGCATTCCGCGAAGGTCAGTGTACCACTTGGAACAACAACCTTCAACCAGACAAATATAAATGTCTTAAGTCTTAACTTACAAGGTGAGTCAGCCAAAAAAAAGCTGTCTGTTTTACTAATTCTAGTTGGAACTCTTCACTCTCAAAAGTGTATAATTACTTTTCTAATTTAATGATGGCGCTAATCATTAAGTAACTGGATTTATAAAATTCTTCTGTAATATATTACTGAATGTTGAATGTTTATGGGGCATTATCAAAACACAGAGAGACTACTATTTTTTTTCATATGCGAACGAACGCACACACACACACACACAAATAAATCATAGTCTAAAGACTGAATTTGAAAGAGTTTGACTTTGTCATTATTCTTGTTTTCAGGCAGTAAGTATGGACTGTTTTTAGTTTGTTGTTAAGCGTGAAGATGCACAATGCTGTGCTCTCCACAGGAATCGAAACCCGGTTTTTAGCGTTATAAGCATTCAGACTTACCACTGAGCTACTGGAGAGCAAGTATGGACAAGCCAAGTTTAATGCTAAATAGCGACCACTAACAACTCCAGGGGGCCATGCATGGACTACAGGTTATCGTGTTTGAACTGTGAAACCGAGTTTTCATGCTCCATAGCCTACTAACGCAAAATCACGCTCCGCACTTTGCCCTGTAATAGTGACAGTCATACCCCCCCCCCGTTCGGTGAGACAGGAATAGCAGCCCACTAGATGGTAATGGTTGTTATTGCTTATCTGCCGTGTAGACTAGTGCGGATCATTAGGAGCGTATAGGTCTATAGCGTCGTTTTCCAATTTATCTTCTGCAAAAAGCTTTGAAGTGAAAGTTATGAAGCTCCAATTAACAAAGAAGGAAACAGCACATTTCACCTATCTTAATACACTTATTAATAATGAATTTATCGCAAGTCGAATCTTTTTTCTTTCTTTTTTCGCTGGACGTTTTTGTGGACAGACAAAAACAAATTCGCATTCCAGAAATTAGGAACCTCTGGCCTTATGGTTAGCATGCTGGGCTGGCTTTTCTTTAACTGTAAAATCCTCAAAACAAGTATAGCAAACTCTTACGATGCAATCAGTTAGGATTTGACTAGTTATTTAAGAGAACTTATATAGTTAATTTGTATCACTAGAAAATATTAAGGTAATTGAAAGAAGAAGTCTTGAAGATACCTTAGCATGGAAATAATTTTAAAAAGAATATCATGTATATTTTTTCTTCTTAAACAACGATGTTTTAAAATTAATAATCAAGTACAGAGGTTGAGTACCTTATATTAAAACGATTTTGGAGCTTCACCGCGTCGTTAAAGTCTATGTCGCCAAGTCAGGTCATGCTTTATTTGACGACAGTGCATATTGACAATAGCCCTGCAGGGTAGTTTCTATTCCAAAAGGCTCCGCCCAAAGGCTGTTATTTTAAAACACACCCCTCCTCCCTGCGTGCTTTTCATAATCCATTTAGTGTACGGGGAAGACTTTTTCCAAATGCCCGTTTCAACAGTCCGATCACCTGTTACAAAACTTTCATCGGCCAAACAATATCAACATATGGTTCTGGTACGTGCCATTCCACCTTACACGTTGATAAAGGCATGGTTATAAAGATGTGTTTTTTTGTTTTTTTTTTAATTTCGCGCAAAGCTACACGAGGACTATCTGATCTAGCCGTCCCTAATTTAGCAGTGTAAGACTAGAGGGAAGGCAGCTAGTTATCACCACCCACCACCAACTCTTGGGCTACTCTTTTACCAACGAATAGAGGGATTGACCGTCACATTATAACGCCCCCACGGCTGAAAGGGCGAGCATGTTTGGTGTGACGCGTATTCGAACCCGCGACCCGCAGATTGCGAGTCGAGCGCCCTAACCACCTGGCCATGCCGGGCCATAAAGATGTGAGCCTTTGAATTTATTAAATGACAAAAATTACATTTCCTCAATTCTATGTTGACGCTTTGCTCTACTTTAAGAAAATATCTTCGGTTATGAAGTTTGCTTTATGGATTTTATGTTCCTAATAACTGAAAACACATACTTTATCGTCATCGACATAACCCCAGAAAAGAAAAAAAAGTTCTCTAACGGTAACCAAAAAATCAGATACTGATAATTAAATGTGAATTTTTTCATGAAACTCATTCTCTATTACTCTGAACTAAGTAGAATATTTCCATATATGATAATCTAATCACAAAACACCTTATGTGTGAAAAAAAGGTGCGGCCAGAAAAGAACTTAGTGCGTGATTTAAGGGAATGAAATCAAAAATTGGTGGCCAAACTGGTAGCTACATTTATAGCATCGATAAGAAGTTTACTGCAAATATTCGTTCATTAATTAGTCAGGCCGCGTTTTGGTTTAACTTGGGGCATAATAGTGGGTAAAACAAAATACGTGGCCTAGCTAACTAATGAATGAATATTTGTTGTAAAATTCTTATCAATGATATAAGTGTAGCTACCAGTTTGGCCGCGGAAAGTCTGAGATCTTATAACACCAAAAATCGGGTTTTGATACGTTCGGTTGGTAGAGTGCAGATAGTCCATTGTGTAGCTTTGTGCTTAATATGAAACAACATAAAAAGGTTTTTGCAATGGTTGCTGTAGCCTGAAGCCAGACTCGGTTCTACTTACAATATTTAAGAATTTGCTCCGTTCGAGAATACATAATGACTAAACGTCATAGGCTGTTTTTTTTTCACAAAGTTATTATTACGTCTCTCCTATTCCGATACACCACTTGTCAAGAGCAGTACCTTTGTTTCGTTGTCGTGTTTTCTTCGAGTACCCAATAGCATGGCCAGGTAGTTAGGATGCTCGATTCGCAATCTGAGGGTCGCTCTTTCAGCCATAGGGGCGTTATAATGTTGCCGTTAATCTCACTATTCGTTGGTAAAAGAATATCCCAAGAGTTGGCGGTGGGTGGTGATAACTAGCTGCCTTCCCTCTAGTCTTTCACTACTAAATAGGGACGGCTAGCGCAGATAGACCCAGTGTAGCTTTGCGCGAAATCCAAAACAAACGAGTACCCATATTATTATGAGGAGTAAGGACTTATAATTACTAAGAGATTTTTCCAGGAAGTTCTTTGTTGAGGATAATAAAAACTCGTGTATTTTATCTCTAATTATCTGTCTCTCACCAGAACCTTGTATTACTGAGTAAATAATGAATATATATATATATATGTATGTGTACAAGAGTTAATTTTTGTAATACTACATTGTTAGGTTGAACGCTGTATTTACAGAGTAAGCTTGATTTATTTCGATTGAACGATTCCCTTGAAAAATTGAATACTCTTTGATTAATGAATATATATATATATATTTATGTGTACAAGAGTTAATTTTTGTAATACTACATTGTTAGGTTGAACGCTGTATTTACAGAGTAAGCTTGATTTATTTCGATTGAACGATTCCCTTGAAAAATTGAATACTCTTTGATTAAGTTTCATCATATATTACTTATGGTAATTATGATTTACTTTGTATGTGTAACAGACATAGATTTTTTAAATTCAAATTAACCATTCCCGCATAATATTCTAAATAATATTTCCGTATAACAACCTCAGAATAATGCAAAAATAATAACACCACGTAATTCTATAACTACAACACCACTTGACCTTGTTACAGTAAACCATCCTGTAACAATAATAGTACACGGCTTTGTTGCAGTAAAACATAGTTTAACAACAGTACTACGTGCTTTGCTGCAGCAAGGCAATCTATAACAATATAAACATATTCTCTGAAAACAATAATACGTGGATGAATTGTAGCAAAGAATGAAAAAAAATTCAAAAATATTAAAAACACACGTCTAGAACACAAACTGTTGCAACGTTTCGGGCAGAAGCCCATCGTCAGAAAGTATAAATCTTGTTACAATCCTTTATGTAAGAATTATATAAATGTTGCTGAAGTTTGTAACACGGTTTATACTGGTTGACGAAAAGCTTTTGCCTGAAATGTTACATGTAATAATAATAAGTAAAAAAGAAAGAGTTTTGGTTGTAGACTTGTGTTTTTAACATTTTTTCATTATTTTTCCATGTCTTTCGGTCTTTTCTACGATGAATTGTAATAGACACGTTCATGTCATGTTACTTTTGAAGTAAAAGCTTTCTAGAACAATATAATCCCGTGAAACTTATACACTAAACACAATGACAACAGCATTTTGTCTCATTTATCGCCATTGATATTTTAGTATTTTGCGTATTACACGTCCAAACATAGTTTCGAAAACAGTTATAGCAAAATGAAGTTCAGTTCATGTTTAAATGGTTGATGTAAGTGAATTTCTTGACAAAATTATTTATTTTCTAGGGAGCCGAATTATCACGGCAAGGGCACATGATGACGAGAAAGATGATATCAAATATGGAATCAAGCCTGCACTGTACCTCGATGGATCCAGTTTCTTCCGAATAAACAAGAAATCGGGGGAAGTATTCCTGGCCAGTCCTTTAACGGGTCAGGTTAGTAACGGTCACCTCATTCTTTACGTGCTGAACCTTTGGACGAAACGCTATAAGGTTTTTTAAATACACGGAATAAATCCTAATACACACGCATATAAGTCTAATCTAAACTACCACTAAAAGTTTTTCCTTTACTTTATCATAAATAATTTACTGGAATTATGTGATAATCAATTCTTCGTAGAAGAATGAAGTTATTATACTTAATCGTATTTAAAAAGGCCCTTGTTTGCATTTCACATTGTTCAAGCCTGAACGTAGTTTCAACAGAGACAGAAGACTTGAAAAACTCAACAATTGTTCTTTAATGTGTATGTTTTGTTATGTTTCTGTTCATTCTAACTTAATAGAGATCGCGGTCGGCTAGTTTGTTTAAATGGAGCAACATGACTGTTTAGTAGCTAACGCAACAGTTGTGTGTAGATAGATATAGAACGAACAATTCGTTATGTAATAATTCTATAAATGTTGCTGAAGTTTGTATAACTTAACAGCGCATTGACTGATCAATTGAGCATAGATCATTAGATGGATACTTTCGCTGCTAAAAAAATGGCAAAGGAAATGCCTGTTTTTGCTAACGACATTGGCATGAACCTTATAAATAAACCAACTAAACTTAAGAAGCTTAAACTACACTGCCCCAAAAACTTAACAGCGAGGATACTTTACTGATTAATCACAAGGCATTGTTAACATTGCTCAGCTAATAATAAATCAAAGCATTGTTAACAAACAGAGAGGATACTCAAATGACGAATCAATGTATTCGTAACAGCTAAAGTATCCAGCTAGCTAATGAATCAAACTTAACCTTATTTTATAGCAATGATTTGGCATTGTTATTGTTGTAATATTACAAATTCTGATGTGAACGTGCTTTGTAGTCACTATGAGAAAAACCTATATACTTGATAGGTGAAGTGAAGAAAAAGTGTCATTGGCCACTATTCAGTTCTTAACGTTATATAACCACACAATATCAGATATAATAAATAAACTTAGTATTCCGGATACTAAGTTTATTTATCATATTATATTGATTTGTACAGTGAGTGCACTTGCAACTTTTACTGTTAATACGGATATAACAAACGGGGAGTGTATTTTTATATTTATTCTTAATTAATATGGAAGAAGTCTGTAACGGAAACATATTTTGATCTTGAGTTCTCTTCTGTAATTTACATATACTGCTTATTATGATTTGTACAACTGAATTAGGAAAGTCCCTCGATGGATCAGCGGTAATTCTACGGACTTACAACGCAAAAATCCGGGGTTTGGTTCCCCGCGGTGGACAGAATACAGATAGTTAACCCATTGTACTAAGAAAACAACAACAGACAAACAAGAGACTTAGAAGGTAAAGGCAATCAACCCAAATCATATGCTGAGAGAACCATTACCACGTGACAATAAGAGAGGTGGGGCGTAGAAGTATTTGACAGCATGCCAGGTGTTGTAACACTAATGGTGTAAAAGAAGTAATCTGGAAAGTCACGATTTAAGCTCTCCGAAATCATAGAAGATCAGCCAAGAATCAAGCAAAAATATCTTAAGAGTCAAAAATGTCATGCAACTGAAGTTTCAAGACAGTTACGGCTAATGCAAGTATCTAGGCAGGATCAGTTTTAAACTTGCAACGTTATTTGCTGGTAGAACCAAGACGAGAAAATAAAAAAAAAAAACGTTGTGCAGTAAAAGTTCAAAACGTACAGCGTGTATTACTGGAACAAAAGCATAATCACTGCTATAAGAGTTTCGAACAATTACAACTATTTAAAGAGTCAAAGAATTAAAAGTATTAATTAAAAATCAAAGATTTAAAAGCAGTTCTTGCTTATTCCAAGGACAAACACTTGTAACAATGAAATACAATAACTATTTTCCTGTATCTTTCTCTTCATCATTCAAATATCGAATTTTCTTCACGAACCATCTATATAATTATACGCACGCAGTGCGTGCGTGAGTGGGGATCTTTTTAAACTTAATTAAACTATGCAAAAATGACATTAGAAGAAGGAAAATACAAACTACATCTCCGTATGCGTACGGGAGGGGTGAGTGTAGATAGTTCTATGCACTGCAATGAGAAAGGTATTTGAGGAACGGATCTGTCGTCTCTCAGACCCCCATCTCAGACAGCAGTGTTTACGTATTAATGTTTTGTGTGTGAATTTTTTCATTTCTTTGTATAAACACTTAAAGTACCAGTACCGTCAACCTGTTGACCATTAGGCTTAAAGTGTCTTTTGTACTGGAGATGTTTGGTGGGTATCACGTGTTGTGAAATCGGTTTAACATCGCAGTCATTGAGACGCCATCAGATTCGTTCAGAACTTTACGTACCCAACCACACACGTGAGTAGTCTAGGCAGATCACTTGATTGTTTTAATTACTTTAAATACATAGCACTGCTTTTGCATTTTATTAAACTTTGTACATTCGAATAGAAAATACCACAGTAAAAGAAAAAAGAAAAAAAAACGTTTCGTACGCGAAGCACAAGTTTTCTCCCGTAGTAAAAGATTATAAGTTCATAAGGTCAGACGGCTCACTATACCTACTGTGATAGTGTTTATAGTGCATTCAATATTGAGGAGATGAACATTTATGGGTTTACTGTTACGCAGTTTTAAGTTATGTTATTCATTGTAGCTTGAATGAAACTTTCTCCCATGCAACTCCAAGTGGTCTTTGCTTGAGAAATCTATGCGATGACTTCTTTTCTCCTTAGTTCATTCTCCTACTGGCCACGTTCTGGGCACAATAATGACGTCATGACGAAGTTTTATGGGTGTTATCTAACTATATCAAATCGTGACTATCTCTTCTTTAACGTCTCACGTTCTCACTTCCGTATACGTTATGACCTTGTACGGAACCAACCGCGCGAGATATGGGACGATGGAGGTAGAAACAGAGAACGCTAGATACTATGTATTCTGTATGAATAATAATAGGGCCAAGCAGTTAGATTTTTTCTCTTGAACTATTGAGCATTTTACGCATGAGATATTAATAAACACAGATATATAGTTTTTCAAGCGTGTCATCTGGTAAAGACAAAATCAGTGGTATGCGATTTTGGAATATAAGTTTACTTTTGTGCTACATATGTTTGTTTGTTTGCTTTAAATGGGTAGGGGACAGTTGTACTAGGTGTAAAAGCATATATATATTTCTTTTTTCTCGTTAAAAAAATTCACAAAGTATAGCAGTATACTCCATTGCAACAACGGCACTCGCTATAACACGTAAAGAAACGTCATATCTGACTCATGTTAGTATTTCCATTGTTAAACGGAGCTATATTATTTTGTAGAATATCTGTCTTCGTTTTCATTTTTGCCAGTACTCATAACTGATGTATCTATGGTCATAATGCCAATTGTTAGTATATTTTCCATCAGTAGTAACCGTTAATGCATCTCTAGTCATCTAACCATGATTGGTGTTTGTCTAGTCATTAACCATGAGGATTGGAATATCTCAAGGTATTGATCATGTTTGGTACATTTATTATCAGTGTTGGTTCTTGTTATATCTTTAACACAGAGTTCAGTCCTCCGACCTAGTAGACCGTAATATTAGGTCGGACGACTAACTCTGTGTTGTGATAGTGTAGTCACGTGACCTCGATGACGCAACAATATGTAATGAAAATACGTGACCGATTAAATCTTCATATATATTTTGATAAATAAGTTCGTTTAATAAAATCCAGTCGATAAAAAGTCCGAAATATTAGGTAGACTATTAGCCGAGCTAACTCCGAACAAACTTTACGTCACCAACTTCTTCTATTTTTTTTTTTTATGTTTTCGTGCAGAATGCTTGTATGGTAAATCTAATATGCGACGACAAAGAAAACCTGAAAATAATTAAGATAAATATATTATACATGTGTGTAACCTAAAATATTGTTTTTAGAATGTAAACAAGGAAGTCGAAAAATATTAAATAAATATTACGTTTCTTTTGCTTTTGCATTTTGAATATCCTGTCATCCAGAGTATGAAATGAACTTGTAATAGTGAATATTACGGTCTACGTAAATGCTAGAGCATTCGCCAAGGTACAGGATAGTTCTAGAAAATAGGTGGCGCCACACCTTCGTTCCGACGAAACTTTAGCAACACAAATCCTTACTTAATAAAACTGGTTTATTCTTTCCGAATACAACTTTACGATACACTTATTTTCAACAATCGCGCTAAAACAAACACTATAACGAACGAACGTTAACTTCAACAATACCCTGTGACTGCAGTTCAATTACTCACTACCTACACACACATTATTGTCCCGTCACATTGTCACCCTCTTATATATACCAGGCTACCCTATATCTAGTTACAGAAAGTTAATTAACAAACGGAGACGTAACAAATTGGTGTCAGAAGTGGGATAAAAAAAATGGAAACGAGAAGCGGCAAATCAAACTACAGCATAGCAGACTTGATGGCAGCAATACAAGAACAGCAAAAGAAACAAGAAGAACGAGAAAATAAATAAGAAAAGCAACAAGAAGAACGAGAAGAGAAATTACGGCAGTTGTTAGAGGAAAAATAAAAGAAACAAGAAGAACGAGAAATTAAACAAGAAGAGAGATTACAGCAGTTGTTAGAGGAAAAAGAAAAGAAACAAGAAGAAAGATTACAGGAATGGCAAGAAAACCTACTACAATGGCAGCTCGAACAACAAAATAAACAAGAGAGATTACAACAGTTGTTGGAGGAAAAAGAAAAGAAACAAGAAGAACGAGAAATTAAACAGGAAGAGAGATTAATGC